AAAGCACAATTAGTGGAATGGATTTTTTACTACATTCTTTTGATGCAAAGAACAATTAGTGGAATGGATTTTTTACTACATTCTTTTGATGCAAAGCACAATTAGTGGAATAAATTTTTTACTACATTCTTTTGATGCAAAGCACAATTAGTGGAATGGATTTTTTACTACATTCTTTTGATGCAAAGAACAATTAGTGGAATGGATTTTTTACTACATTCTTTTGATGCAAAGAACAATTAGTGGAATAAATTTTTTACTACATTCTTTTGATGCAAAGAACAATTACTGGAATGGATTTTTTACTACATTCTTTTGAATGCAAAGAACAATTACTGGAAAGAATTTTGTACTTCATTCTTTTGACGTAAAGAACAATTAGTGGAATGGATTTTGTACTTTATCCTTTTGATGTAAAGCACAATTAGCGGAATTAATTTTTTTTTCTGTTCTAAGAGATATTATGATTGATTTTCAGCCAGTATTTTCATGAAATCCTACTTAAATGTAGGTAGGAAAGTAGACAGAAGTAGGAACATCAGCACTACACTATTTATTTCATAGAACTACAACATGGGAAAATCAGGATCTAAATGAGAAACATTTTCTACAACGTCATTTTATATTATTATTCACCTGCTTTATAAAATTGTATTTATACATACAGAAGTTAGAGTTAATTCTAGGAATTTCTTTGCTAGATTTTTGATTAATATATTTTTGTGGGTGAACTTTAAATCAGTCTAAAATCCACTCCTTTGATAATAAATAGAGGAATTTACAACGTTATTAATAGTTGAACTTGTTGAAACTGGTAGTCTTAACTCAGTCTAATGTTAAGACTTGTAATACGGAAAAAAATAAAATAACCTATAAAACCTATTCAATACAGAAACAACTTTTAATTTCCAATAACTAGTAGTAAACACACAGTCCGTACTAAGTCCAAACCTTAAACGTAAAAAATCATCTTAAATCTGTTTTAATCTACAATTCTGAACGTTAATTTATAACACTTTCAAATATTTAAAAAAATATATATTTGTATAAAGTTTATGTACAGAACGTTAATACTATTATTACATCTCAAGACAGGATTTGTAAGTCACAGTTATTCCTTGCTCTGCCCTGAAATACATTTAAAATGTACATGATTTAAACCTTTTAGAGTTTAGGAATATTTATATGAAACTGTAAAGAACTTTTTGAAAAGGAGTGTTATTTTTTTTCAATTACAATACTTCCCATATTTCTCACAAGATCATACAGAATTATATCATAACATACAGCATCATAATTTCTTGTGAAGATCTCAATATTTATAGAGATTGTGGGATATAATAAGTGAACATTTTTCTAGGTTTAAATTTTTTGTATATTTAAATCATTTCTTACCATCAACCTAAATGGATTGATGTCAGTTGGTATTAGCTTAGAACTGCATTTTTCAACTAGTTTTAGTTACCAGCTGTGAACCTTACAATAACTAACAAAGAAAACTTAATAACATAAAGGTTAGAGCTCTCTGGAAGACTACACACCTTCAAGTGTTCTTTTTAAATCATGGAGTATAAAAGTGAGTAAACAAACTTTAACAGTTTCGTCAAGTAATCTTCTCAATCCAAACTACAATAAAACCTCTGCTCTGTTCTTTATTAAGTTGATGACAGATGAAACTATAATTCCAAGCTAGTCAAGGTATGGCTTTTGTTACATCGTTAAAGTCAAATTTTAAGCATCTGTAAATAAAACTGCCCTGTTAATCCGAACCCACTAGTTTGCATTAGAACCTATTTAACCAGATAGTCCATGATCAACTATTTTACAGACAGAAAATCATAATCCAATATTTTACATAGTGACCGAGCTATACTTTATTTAACATTGAATAAAAACAAAGACTTAACAGCTGTGATGTTTGGATTGTATCCTTTACAATGATATAGAAGAAAATATATATTCATATATCAATATCAAAAATGAAAGTCAAAACAAAAATACACCCAGGATAGACAGACACAGAAACAAACAACTGATTTTGTACAGCTTTCAGACAATCAGTGATGAAAAAGTTATCTACAACATCCTGAACCTAGTATTTTCATACTCTCGGCTATGAACGAGTTTTCCTAACCTTACTAATTCTGGAGGAATTTGTTTCCATGTTAAAACTAATATTAATAGCTACACACATAGAACTGGCATTAAATTTACTTGCAGTATGAACAACACTTAGGACTAGAAAGTCTGTGACAAAAAAACTATCGGCTATTTTACTTACCTTAGTGAAGTACAACAAACAGGTGTGTATTTTTTTTTCATGCTAATGGAGAAAAGTCTTTACACAATTATTACAAATCAAAATTAAAACCAGTAATAACATGGGTAAAATTGAGATTTAAGGAAATGATGTAAGTAAATTAACCGTTACAAAACTCGATACTTTGAAACGATTTGTTGTTAACTTGCAAGGGGTGTTCCTGAACAAAACGGTTCTCCGAGTAATTACAACTTTTGTCATTATACTTATACCAGGTGGCTTCCTTTTTTACGATACTGACTTTGAGATTTAATGTTTAGTTAAATAGGATTCATTTCAAAAGACATGTCAAATGTAGTCATAAAAAATAAGCAACTTAAGTTTTTGTTTTAATTTGTACACAAGTAGCTTAGCTCTTCAAATAAAACTAATTATAAAGTCAACATTTAATTTTTTATTAAAGATATAAAAACCAATGTAAGCTGAATCAGGCTTAGTTTGTTGTCAACAGAAATTTAAATTTTTATGCTCAGAAAATATATTATAAAAAATTATATGTAACGTCCCAACATATTTTAAGTTAGTAGTTTTTAAAATAAACTGATCATTAAGTATTTTGGCATATAAATATTAAACTTAATAACAATTCTAAACTGGTATGATATGGTCCAACTCCATAAAGAAACTTTCATATTCTTGGTAAAAGAATATCATCATTCTGCGAAGAAGTTCTATCACTTTCGTTTTCGGAGAGAAGTAATTAACTTTTAGCACCCACAGCCAGCACCTACTGACATTCTACAGGAACTCTGGTCCCACAGGTATTCTTCTACAGTTGATAAAAACCTTATACGGGTAAGGGAATAAACTCTTGAGGACTGGGAAGGGGGGATCCTTTGATAAGCTGCTTCACATTCCTGCAAGAGCAAAAACGCTTGGAAATTAAACTTACTTAAAAAAAAAGAAAAACTTTAATCCAGTCCATAATAACAGTCAAAGTCAAAAATCTCAACTTTCGATTATTATTTTCAATCAACACGTCACAGTGTTTCTCAAAGATTGGTCCATCACAACCATCTTGCCAGTTCATACGATTTCACAAAAACAAACAGAATATTCACACATGTAACGCGTAATGTTTTTTGTTATACTCGCATTTTAGTGACCCGCAACAGTATAGGTAGGCCCCCTGGTATTAAAAAGGTTGAGAAATGCTACGCTAGGGCATGCTTTAATTTTATTGTTTTACTGATCTTATATATATTCAGTAATCAGGATTTATTATAAGTTATAATTATCGTCACACAAAAAAGGTTCGTACACCAGAGACACACAAAAATTCTAAGATACTGGAATTATGCAGACAGGATAATCTTTAATTTTGTTTTCTATAGAAGCTAGGCTGAAGTTTAGATGAAGATGATTTACTAAGCCTTTTTTACTACCTATAAATGTTTAAGATATTCTTATCTTGCTTACAAGCATGAATGTTTTAATGTTAAGAGCCCCAAGTTTAATAGGATTATGTAGCAGGTCCCTGGTATTGAATATATTGAGAAATATCGATATAAACTATAAATGTAATCAATTAAGTGCTCTTAAATCATTCGTATCCTGAAGCATCCCCAATTTGCTATGGAAACTGGTGTAAAAACAAAATATTACAAAGCTGGAATAGTTGAAAGCATTCTTCCCTAATCCTGCCATTTTGAACACATGTATGTGTTACTCTATCTTATACCAGAAACAAGTTATTTTAAATCCTAGTGGTACATACTGGAACCTTCAGTTGTGAGAAAATATAAAAACCATAATAAAATTCCTCTTTGTTAATGTCTCCACTGCTATAATATTTGAATAAGAATCATCTGGAAATACATTTTAAATAATAAGTTATTAACAAATTTGTCATTTTAGTGAATTTTTTAAACGAAAAAATGTTTCTAGATTAAAGGTGTAATAACATAATACATACGTTGGTGTTGTAGCAGGACTATTTCCACTTCCCTCAAATATGTGGGGTTTTTCTCTAACTAAGTTTCGACAGGAAGCAAGCTTGGACTCCAGTGCCTTGTTGATTATCAGAAGTAAGCAAAAAGGAACAGTTAATTTTAAGATCACACTGCAAAAACATTTGATTACTTTCCAGCTATTAAAAGTTGTTAGTAGAAAAATTTACTATTTACATAATGAATACTACCTGCCCACCAGTATGACAAAAAAGACCAAATGACCACTACTAGTTTTAAGATAACATCACATATGACTACCTAAACAAGCAGAACATCTTCAAATACCAAAAACAGGCATTCCATAAAAACCTTTTAACTCTTTGAGTGCGTAATTAAATTTCACGTGGGTTCTCGAAAAGTGTCAATTATCCACTAACAAATGAAATGTAGAATTTGACATTTTTTAGGACTTTTTCAATATCAAAATCCACTAGTTGCACTTTTGCCCGGTGATGTATGCACGTGCAGTACTAAAGTGGGAAATGCAAGGACGCACGAGTATTCTGCTTATCGTACTAAGAGGAAAAGTTTTTGCGACATCATGAGGTAAATCCGTTTGTCACACCAAATGTCTATAAATGTCAAGTCGGATAAATCTCATCATAGCATCCAAAAAGTTAATATCATCACAGAAAAGCAAACAACGTAGTAAAAATAAGAACCTTACAACACAAAATTATGATACAAAAAAATAGCAGATTAATTAAATTAAACTTTCTGACTATTTGGTGAATAAATTATATAAATTTGACAATCCAAGATTGTTATGTAATGTTACAACATATTGGCTGATACTTATGGTACAAGTTGCCTTATTTCTATGACGTACTGGTTAAATCGTAAACTGAATGAATTTCCTACAAATTATATGGAATTATACAACTAAGAAGTGGCCATAAGATTTTTCTGTTGTTATATACTATTAGATATTACATCCTTCTGAAGGCATCCTTTTATTGAGATTTCGTCACTTGTTTTCCACATTTCTTTTAAAATCAACTTAATAAGTAGGATCTAATTTAACACCATATTTGTATAAATTAGAAAGCCTATCATGCTTGACTTTGCCAGTATCAGTAACAACCCAATTTTTTTCTCAATGATGCTTGTTCAATCAAAACACATAATGGAAAATAATATGATCAAACAGGGGACTTTAGATAAGAAATAATCAAATGTATGTCAGTTACTTTCACATTTATTTATACAACACAAATTAACCCTACAAGTACTGTATTAAACAATGACATTAACTAAAATCCTCAGAAGTTGTCTTTTAGATTAAATGTGCTTGAGAGTAAATAGTTTCATAAGTCTTGTTTGTTACTCTGATTACACACAAAAGATAACGTGTTATCAAGAAATGTGCACCAATTTAACTAAGAGGAAGTTTTTTTTTGTTAACAATCTCTAAAAAGAAGATGGTAATTGAAACTGAAGAAAAAATTACTATATACATCATTGATGAGAAGTATTTTTAGTTAAAAAAAAATTTTAGTATACATAATCTTACTATAGTGGATGTAGCTTGTACATATCTAACTATGTATATGACAGAAATAATATACAATGTGGCGCCATCTGTTGAATGGCACTACAAACAAAATTTCATAAATAAATTTAACACTTTGGGCATTCAAGATTCAAACAGAAAAACAACTACGGTATGTGCAACGACTATTTCTTTATCACAGAATACAATTTTAAATAAAAGTACTCTTCTCACAACAAAAACATGACTTTCATGACTTTACAGCTGTACGTGAGGGTTTGATTATATCTATATTGATGTATTTTGTAAATATAATACTAAAAATACAGTTCTTAAAAAACTTATTTTTTCAATAAAGTGTACCAGTTTTAATATATAAAAACATTACAGTTTATATCACCACAATCTGAACACCTTTCCCACGCAGTACTTCCCAGAAAAATCTTATTTTTTTTTTTAGAAAATGTTCACTTTTTCTAAATTTTTTTCAATGAGGTATGAATATTAAAATTAGTAATTACTAGCACAAACAGCCAACCATAGTTGGTTAAATTTTCACTGCACAATTTTTATTTACAGTAACAAGTATCTGTAGTATGACCACAATCAGTATTACTTTGACTCAACAGTTACACAGCCTTTTTTTATATGCTAATTATTCACATTTAATTAGTTTGATGAACTTCTTAAATATAGTTGGTCATTTAGACAGTTAAATATCAAAGATGACAGTATGGCTTTGCTTCAACTCAATGCACATTTTTCTATTATAATTCTTAAAATGTTCAATTAATTAAGCATTCCAGAAACAGAAATTAATAAACTACGCTGACATGAAAAAATTCAGTTGTCTAGAATAAAACATGTATACAACAGAAGGATGTTCTACGATTTGTGATGTAAGAAACTTTGAAAGAAAAAAATATTTGATATAATTGTACAGCCATGCCTGTGTTTCCTTGGAAAGGTTGAAGTTTGGTTTTACATGTAAAGTAGTTTCATTTCAGATTTTGTATATGAGAATGGACTTTTTTAAAACTGAGGTTGAAGACAATTACATTTAACAAATTACATTGAAGTGTCTGTTACGTACAAGTTAACTTATGTAGCTGATGAACAGGTAAAGCTGGATATACTCACCCCAACTTTCCTAAGTAGATCTCCAACAATATTCAGGGCCGATATTCTGGCGGAAGGAGTCAGAGGTTTGATACTTTCTTGAGTTAAAATTCCTATAAACAAAGATTGTATACAAAAACGATAAAGTATAAATTGGTGTATAGTTTAAACACTGGCAACATGTTGTTAAGGATAACAGTGTCTTGATTACAAAGGCTTTTACAAATTGTTGTAATGAAAAAGTAAAAAGCAGGGAATGGTTTAAATACAATATTTATAGAATTACGTGTATTAGCTTAATATCTGTTGAATGCCTAAATATAATGGGTCATTACTATTTGTGAAATACTGATGATAAGTAATAAATTATAAAATGTAATCAACAAGTTGTGAGCTAATAGATAGAAATGAAAATTTTGTTCCCAAAGAACAGTTTGAGAGAAACAAAATTTTCATTATATCAGTGCAGAAACATGATGTTATGTACCTCTTTTTGTCAGTTAGTTTTTGTAATTCATAAAATTCTGAAAGAACAATCCTTACTGTGAAGTAAAACGTTTTCTCAGAACCAAAGAAGCATGAAGTTTAAAGATTTTAAAACCCATACCTGAGGACACGTTGTTGACGACTTGATGGATCTACCTCTCAAGGTTTAACTTTTAACCTTAGTTCCATGTTGCCATACCAATAAATTAAACTTACACTTCCTTCATCACCTTTATCTCTTTAAAATAAGACTATTAAACTTAAATATTCTTTTAAACAGACTGTATATTTGTTTTGTTTAATATTTTACAAAGATTACTAAAATTGTAAGTACGTTAATTACTTCAACAGTTCACTGCCCCAAGATGTATGAGAGTGTCATAAACAGTAAAATTATTCTGTACTTTTGTCCAAAATAGACTTTAAAAGTTTGGGTAAAAGAAACTAACCAAACTTTTTTAATGTTATTATCTTTTTTTATTTCATCCACTTAAACGCGATTAATTTTAAATGAATAATTTCTGGGACAAACAACAAAGTACAACTACATAAACCATTCTCACCTCTCACTGGAGAACTTATTTGTTTGTGATTCTCTGCTTTCAACTTGTTGGAATCTATCTCTATTTTCTCGACTTTCTTATCGTTGTCCAGATATGGTAGGACAAGAATGTTATTGTTATTTTCTTGCTTACCGAGAGACTGCTGAATCAAGAGCTCTTGTCTTAGGTCTGAAATATTAGAAAGGTTTATGAGGTTGAATACATAGTAATGCTATTGAATAACCACAATTTTTCATGCATACCAGTGGCCAAGCAGTAAGTGAGGGCTTAAAATGCTAAAAATCATGTTTAAATACCAATAGCGGGCAGAACACAGATAACTTATTGTGTAGCTTTTGTGGAAAAACTGTGCTCGCAGGATTTTGTATTATATTAATTAATTTCTTGATAAAGTATCAAGAATAAGATCGTTCAAGTTATTTTGCATTAATTAAGTGAAACATGATTGTGTAAACACACTTAAAAGTCCATAATTTGTTAGGTAATTTTTTCCAATATTAAATTCAAAAGGTAACATTCCACTCAAATAAATGCTCTGCTCATTGAGATATTTACCACGGGCTTCATCTTTCAACCTCTGAACCATCATAGCCATAGTCTCCTTGTCATCAAGTTCACTTTCAAGAAATGCATTTCTCTCAATGGCCTATTATACACATTAAAAATAAAAATTGTGCAATATTAGAAGAAAGAGAACAGCTATCTGTAAAGTAAGTATTAACATATTAAAAGTGCTTCCAACAAAATTAAACTATTAGATTCAAATTTTCTATTTTTAGTAAATATAACACTAATAATATGGATTATACAGAAACTAAGTTTTCATCTCTTCAATACGGCAGCTATTCATTCTGTAACGTGAAAAATTTTCAAACTAAAATACAGAAAATTGAACTACAAAAAAAAAGGATTCCTGATTATTAAATACATTTTTATATACTATTGATGCTTGTTTGTTTTGGAATTTCGCGCAAAGCTACACGAGGGCTATCTGCGCTAGCCGTCCC